GGTATGAGTGAAGCTTCTGCCACTGTAGATAGTTTAAGTCGGTCAGCAGTCTCAAACCTGAAAGTTGAATTCAATTATGGAAGACTTCTTCAGATATTCAATCAATACATTATTCAGCAAAGATATTCAGATATTCCAACAGAAATAACGCGTGTGCTTCTTTTTCCACTGCATCTACATTGAGAGAGATCCGATGTGTGTGCGCGCTAGTAGTTGAATATTTGAATTTCAGACGTAATGTATTCAACCATCGAATTAAAACTTCAAGCTTCGCAGATATGCTTTTGTATGCTTATCATATTCGTATTTCTTGAGGCTAAAATAAACTAATCGTAGCAATAAAAATATCAATTTGTTGTTAAAGTCGCTCTTATTCTTGATAACTTTTCACCCCGGTTCTTTTCAAGTATCATTTTATGATGAAGATGAACATCATTGCAAATAGTTTTATTTAGCCATCTCTTGCTATTGTTGTCGGATAATTTCATTGAAATATCTTAACGAATTTTTTTACTTCAGTTTTAGGCATTATAATTATAATTGTTTTTGGGATTCCTTTATTTCAGGACAAAGAAACCAAGAAAAAATCATAGATGTCATTGAAGTAAAAAAATAAGCAGATAATGAGTTTTCAATCTTCGATATTATTACAGATGATGTGATTTTGAATAAATCATGGACGAACTTTCTCGAAACGACAAGATGTCACACGTTTTGAAAATAAAGAAGATTTCATGGGTATACGATTTATTTTTTACAATAAATTTTTTTCAAACTATTTATGAATGGTCAATATATGATGCGTACACAACATTTCGTTCATACATGCGTTTGTGAATAATATATGAACTCATAATACATACACTAGTTCGATTTGATTTGATGACAATTGTGGTCACATGGGACTTTACGGTATGTACATTTTCTTCTTAATTAATAATTCAGTTATTCTAATCTTACTTGTATCATTCTAGATACATAACGATTGGAGAATTCCGTTAGACTATGGTGAGGTAAAAATTATCGTTGAAGGATACTGGTGTCGACATTAGATCAAAGCTAAGATGGCTCGTAAAATTTTTAAAAATATCAATATGGTCAGTTAAATGCATCTAGATGCAATTCTGTTCAGCTACATTCAGACGCGGCCTTGTTAAATAACGTGTCTTCAGTAAAACATTGTTTGTATTTAAACGTGTTCGATCTTCACGTTTCAGACAGACATGAAATGCGATTCAGACGCGTTTTAATACAAAAATTATTTACATAGAAATGGTTTTGAGAAACATTCGTGAACATGAATTAGTTTTTCTCGTAACATCAGTGATATGTAATGCTTTTGGAAAGAAATTAGTGAGAATCAGTGATATTTTGGAAAATAATTATTGATTATTAGTTTTTTTTTTACAAGACTATTGGTAAGTTTTGTGATGTATTTCTGAACCTATAATACACTAGTGGACAAAAGTGCCGATACCAGGCAAAAATTATTGAAACAAAGGTTGTTTTTGTTGAAATTTTCACTATAAGGAAAACTTGATGAACCCTGATCACAGGCAATAGCTCAAGCCCTATTCCCTTATATTGGCTGATATTTAAGATCAACATCAACGATTTTTTCCCATTATGCTATCTCGAGTTAGCAAAAAGATATTAGGTCATTCGACCTACCATTGGACAGCCCGACTCGTCTTCTCTTTTCAATAAAATTTTCATTATAAATGACCATTCATTCGTTGATTTATGAATTATTTTCTGTCTAGGTATGACATTGACATATCACAACCCTACTAGTATTTTACTTGAATCTCGGACTAGGCACAATCTTTTGACTTGAAAATTGTATCACAGACTGCTAAGGTATGACCAAANAAACATGCGAAGTAAGCTTCGAAAGACAAAAGAAGAAAAAGGGAGAGAATGAAACAACGTGTGGAACCACTAACAGGCATTTCAGGAAAGAAGGCATTACGAGATATTTTATCTACTCTTGATCGATTTTGACATCGTCTGTACACAATCTAAACTTCAATTAGCCCAGTCACACTTGATCTGGCGACACTAGAATCGATATGTAGTGTCCTGATTTTTACCAAAATTCCTGATTTTTTTAACCGAAGTGTCCTGCCTATTTTCCTGATTTTGAGGCATAGGCCGCTGCGACCCCTGAAGATATTCATCGACGGTCAAAGTGGATAGCACGCAGATGATCATCGATTTTGACACATTCAGCGAACGCAAAAAACATCTATGGTAAACAACGTGTGTATATGTCTTGTGATAGGAGCTTGAACTGTCAAAGGTCGTTTCATCGAAACCGTCGAAAATTCATAAATCAAATGATAAACGCGATAAGTACTACAAACGCTGAGTTTCACGTTGCAAGATGAATCTTTTGTGCAGTATGATATAAACGAAAAAAAGCCAGTTTCACAAGAAAATCATGATTGGTATTTGACTTCAACAAAAACTACAATTGAATATTGCTGTGAGAGCTGTTGACTAGAGTGACTTCAGCAATATTTTGTCACAATACAGTCTTGAACAAAGTTCTTTCCCCCCACGGAACTTAGTCACCATTAGAACGAGAGATCAGAAAACTTGTGTGCGAACCACTTTTTCTCATTTTACGGTATCGATCGTTATTTATATCGGTTAAAATTTTAGATGTAATACGCGTTTAGTCATTTTTGAAGATTTCAGCTGGAATTTGATAATTTGATTTTTTTAAAATAATAATACAAATACACACTATCAATAAGTAGCTCTCTGTTTAAAAAGCGACACACTATAACAAATAATTTATACTGTAAAAGCTAAACAAGTTAATTTGATATGTAATGTAATTAGATATTTTCACTCAAGTTAGCACTCAGTATCGATTCGTTCATTTTTATTTTTTACAAGTTAGCATTTGAATCAAAAGTTCAAATTCACTGTATAAAATTATTCTTAGACATAGCATACAATTTAATATGATTTTAGTTTTGTTTATGCCGATATCAATCAAAATACTCCAGTTAAACGCATTGACATGTGATAATTAGCAATTCTTGATGATCATTTAAATGGTTTTTATTGGATATTATCCAATGATGTAGCGCTTTAAAAATCCTAATAACACACATCACAAATTAATTTAGTGTTGCTTTATTGTGAAAAAATATATCGCATAATTGTATGATGTCAACAAGTATATCGTCATTAAAAAGAATTAATCCAATATATTATTCAATTATTTTTAGTACACAATAATAATTTAATTCTGTATTAACATTCGTTATCAACCAATTTATTGAATATAATGTTAACAAGTAGGACACCTTTTCAAAGTGTCAATATAATATGTAGTAAATTCGAACTATTTATTTTTTTGTTTTAAAATTTTAAAAGAATTATGTAGAATTCACATATATTTTCGAAGAAAATAGAGAATGCAAGTTTTAAGTTGAATTTTTGCAGTTGCCTTTCTTTGTCTACGCCATTACAGACCTTAGTTACATAAGAACATTAGCATAATCGAAAAACACAATGTTTTTCACATTGTACACCAAGTCCTAATTTGCAACTATCACATTCAATCTTTTATCTAACTTGTACTTCTTTTGTGCTATAGTAAGCACATTTTCTTACAGTTTCTTTGAGAGGCGATTTCATTTTATTATGAAAATGAATAATAGATTATGGCGGTGCTAGTTTCAGTTTCTTCTAAGAAGGACATCCAATATATATGTGCTCAACATCAGAGCAGAGAGAGAGCTAGCCACTGAACCGTTTAACTCAAGTATGATAATTCACCATAACTATTTGATTGTAGCAAATCTATGAATTGGAAATAGGCTTATTAACAAAGTAAATAAAAGGTCGAAGTTAGTTGCTCTTAGACTTCCGATATCAATTGTAACAGGACATTCTTTAGTTAAACGATGAACCCCATGTGGAAACTAATTGCAGTCTTTCTTTTTTGTTTTTGAATAGTTATTGGTAATAAATTAATCATTTCTCAATTGTCGGAAGACCGTAAAAACTCCATTGTCTTCACATTTACTTGAGGATGGGAGTGTAGATATGTATTTTGTCATGAGTCAAGAGAAGATACGTCTTACATCCACTCTCACCGTACAGCATCAAAAAGAAAAGAGAACATCTGGCAAAAATCTATAGAAACGAACGAACGAACGAACGAAAGAAAGAAAAGATCTGTATCAAATAATAGATGAAGCACAGTTCGACCTGTAGAGTCTCACAATCACAAGTCCCTACCGTCTTCAAAGAGTTAAAAATAATTTATGATCCATAGAAGATAACAAAATTTAACATTTCATTTAAAACTGAAAAATTACGTGAATTATCGAATACTTTGTCTGAAAAAATAAACTTTGAGCTACAACTAGTGTGTGGTACATATGTTCGGGTTTTGATCATTGGTTCGCTTGTTAACGTTTGAATATCATCACTTGAGATCCGTCAAATGATGTCGATGTCGGATTATTTCGAATTTCAGAGGGATTGAGATTTACTTTTTAAATTTCATTTGCAATGCATATCGATGTGATTCAGGTGCATTTTGAGTACAAAAGTATTTATATGAAAATGAGCTTAAGCTCTTGTATAGAAAGAAAACGAATTTTCTTCTTAAAATTGATTTACTTTTAATCGATTCATTGCAAGAATAATGTTAAACATAAACTAATGATTTCACAGCATATTGTAATCAAAAGTATGTTGAATTATTTGAGAGATACCTTATTGTAGATTTTTATGTCATGCTCAAATTTACGTCGCTATGAAAAATTGAATGATTTTTTATTTCTTGCAAGAGATTCAAAATCTATTTTTATAATCGAAATTAGTATTGTTTCAAATCGCAAGTCTTATTGTAACAAACATTAATTTCGATGAAGAACGCGTTTATTATGACCAAAAAAATATTTTTGATTAAATGCTTGTTCAGCTTATTTCATATTTAGGAAAAAAAAAAAGTTCAAATGTATGCCGTTCTAATACCGCATTCCGTATGAATAACCAAATCCACCACCATAATTTCCATAACCTCCATAACCTCCATAACCTCCATAGCCTCCAACTCCAGGATAACCTCCATATATTTGACCATATGTTGGATTTGGATTTCCACCCATCATATTATCATAATATTCACCCCAATAACCTATATTAAAAAACAAATAATTAAGAAATATTCATTTTTTCAATTGATTTATGATTTTAAATGTATTTATCATTGTTCATTCAAATAAAAAATAAATTACTATTGAGATTTATGATAAAAATCCAGAGTTATCGCAGAAAACGGCACAATATTTATGAAGAAAATACTTTGAACATCATAAACGAATCAATCAAACTGTTTATATATACAGTGGCTACCAAACTTATTCAACAAGTATTTTGTATTATGAGAATATAAAATGGTTACCAGATCCTTAAAGATAGAGTTTCCAGAAAACCAAACCCTCAGTTGTTCATCATCTCGGAGATACAAATTTTATTTTGTTGAGACTAAGCAAGCAATTCTCTTCAAAATAAGACGTTTTCGAACTTTATGCGACTGTTTTTTTTGCCGACATACAACAATCTGAATGAAAGTCCCCAATTGAATGTTTTCATAGACTTTTGTAAGATTACTGTATGTCAGTGAGAAGAGAGCCGTAGAAAACTCGGCAATGTTTCCTTTTTTAGAAAATTGTTTGCTCCACCATTTAGTGAAATTTATACAAAATTATATTTGTGCGTACTAGGTTCTGAAAACACTGTCTTTTGGGATCTAGTAATCAGAATATTGTGGTATATTCTTATTGTGTATATTTTTCTCTATTCGAGTCATGATTTAAGTTCTTTTTTGCGACTAAGATAGCAGAAAGAAATTGAAAATAATCCTTTTTAACTAGGTTTGGTAGCCATAGTACATGCATATAAATATAGAATAAAAGTGAAAAATAAATCATATCCTAATAATATTAGCAATAACATTTTACGATCCTTACTGTTTAATCCACCGGGAATATTTCGTTCAATCCACATATCAGATTGTAGTTCTCGAATCATTTGAGGATTACCACCATACATATTTAATGTATTACTAAATGCGTGAAATGCCGAAGAAGATTTCTTTGTTTTGATCAATGAATAAAAACTGATTTGATTGCATGTATTTATATATGATCTTATTATCGTTGTAATATGACAAATATTAGTAATAAAAGATTTATGAAGCGTTACTAAAAATTACTAATTCAGTCAATGGAGGTGTATAAACAAACGATATGATTCAAAGTTTTATCTTTTGTTTTTATTTCTATTAATTTGACATGCATGTTTATACATACATGCAATGATTTTATCTTAAAAATAAAGCTAGGCTGTATCTCTGATTTTTCTATAGGATTATTTTGTAAAATAATATTCAATGGTTTTTTTGTACTTGACTCCAATGAGTAAATACGTTTTACATGCAAATAATATATGAATAATCATGACTAATTTTTTACCTTATCAAATAAGCAATATTTTTCTCTTCTCCACTCGTTAAGCTTATTTAACAAAAATAGTATATTTTCATTAGTTCATCAAATAAACTAAAAAAAATCTCTTTAAACAGTAATAATCAACAACAAAAAATATTTAATGAATATTATTTATTATATGATGATTTAAAATAGAAAAATAAATGAACATTTTCAATTTTGTATATTCAAATGTTTTTCAATAAAACAAATATTATTTTATTTATAATTTAAGTCCAAAGATTTGAATAATAATTCCATCGCTAAAATCAATTATTGCAAACCGAACACAATGATAAGCGAGTTTATTTTACTATACCTGGGTATTCGTTTGATATTAGTTTTCAATTATTGAAGAAGAACACAAAACGGCCAACTTGTCCATTTGATTCCCAATGATATGCAACATAAATTGTGTTAAAATTTTCTTATCTTCGATTGATTATTTTAAAAAAAAGAGTAGAACTCTAGAAGTGAACGGCATTTTACAATTCATTAAAATAAAAATAATTTTGTGCTTAAAATTTTGCTAGACATCGCATACAAAGCTGTTTGAGATTTGTTTCTATTTAGAAAGTCTTCTATAACAAATCATTTTGTGCACGCAAATAATACCAATGATTGCAAAAGTAAGAAGTAAACTACTCATTTCTACAATATTTATACTAGTAGTAGATCTATCGGATGAAAATGACGGTTGACAACGATTTCCTTCAAACCATTGTGTTTTGAAATTATCAATAACATCGGATTCTCTTAATGATAATATAACGACATTTAAATCTTTTGCATATAACCATTGTTTATACATAAAAATACCATATGCAATGTATCCAAAATTGAAGTATCAATAGAATTATCTAATAATCTGATATATAGTTCATCTTGTGATTTTAATGGATGAAAAGTTCGACTATCGCTAGAAATTTTACGTAAATAAACATCTTGCAATGATGATTGAACAGGGATACCAATATGATTAAAAGCTAATTTTTCATTTCTGATATTATCAATTTCAGAAATAAAATCTTTTGAGTTTTATATTATTAAATCAGAAGCAAAATTTGTTAAAGTACAACACTAATATGATAGATAAAAAATAAATACTACTAAAATCCTAGAAACTTACTACTTGAAGAAATAATTAATAGTAAAAAAGAAAATTAATTCGGAAAGTTCCGCTGTTCTTATATAGCTCAATTATGAATATCTTAAAATTTGAATAACTCGATTCGGACTTGCTATTAGCAGCTCATATTTTAAATTCGGTAGCTTTGAATTCGAAGTGATGGTTTGGATCAAACACGCTTAATCTTATTAACTGATATGACAAACAATTTCATTGTTAGTTAATCTTGACCATTTGGCGGGTTCTTTAGCCGGAACAAAATTTTAACATCTTGATAACTACATAGGAATGTATTCAATAGAATAAACTCACTTTCACTTATTCTCAAGATGTCAATGACTGCAGTTATAGTTTCTTTAACTCATCCCACGCCAACTCATGTAATTTTATTATTAATACACTTACTGTGTGTGTGTTTCCATAGAAATCTTAAACTTATTCAATGAATTTATAACTTCTTTCTCCTTGTTCTTTTTAAATTTAATTGAAAATAGTGTTTATCTAATAAACTGAACCTATTTAGCTCATATTTATTCTTTTGGTGCTAGTCGGTAATTCCATGAATTGCTATATTTTCCAACCAATAATTCTAAAAGGACACGCTCTTATAGTATTAAAACCAATGACTTTTTATCACGTCCTTTTTCTACTGCTATTATTCGATGAAAGGATATTTTGTTAGCCGCCTGCCCTTTTCTAGTTTAGTCAGTAGAAATCCGTGTATACACATTTATCATTTGCCTTTTTTCTTATTTGACAACTGTATGTCTCATACTTCTTATCCTATTAATAATTGTAAAGGCCATGCTTTCGTATCACTAAACCGATGATTTCTACTTCGTTTGATCTTTGCCTATTAGTGCTTGATTAAGAGTATTATGTTTCTCTCACTTCCTTTCTTATGTGGAGTTAGATAAGAACAGTGTGAGTTCGCATCAATTTTTTGAATTTTTCTTATGTGAAGATTGTACGCAGATATCTCTTTTCTTGTCGCCCATTTCTAATGATATGTTGTTACATTATTAAAACCAATAAGGTAAAGTTCATTTCTCTCTTGCCTTTTCTTTACTCTTTGCATGGATAAAGAAGAATCCTATGTGTGGTTATCTATTTTTTTAGATTTCTTTTTATTTAATCTTTGTTTCCTTGTTAGTACTCGATCACAGAGCAGTTTGTTTGCCTTGTTCTCTATTTCATTACGATTCTCAGTTTTGAATTGGATATATATATCAGATTGTAGAGCTCGACGTGTTGATCACTATTGCATAAAACACTTCTCTCCGTGCGGAGAATACGGAAGAACAAAGTCGACTGTAATCCTTAAAAATTTCTATTGAGACAAATTGTGGAATGCTCAACTTTTCATAATATTATAATTTTAGACGGCTTGATCCTTAGCATTCGACGTGTCGCACTTGAATATGCATGATTGTACATTCAATTAAGATAGAGAGAGGCTTTTATATCTTTAATTTATTCATTTCAATATTACCAATACTTGATCTTTAGACAATGTAAATATATAGCTCGAAAATATTTAAAAGCCCCTTCAGAAAACTATTCTATAGGTTGAAAAATAAATGATTTACGTTTTGAACATGTCTAATATACTCTACAGATTTCATCGTGTGTTTGGATTATGTTTTGCGCTCGCCGTTACCGCAGATTCCACAGCATTAGCAACAATGAGACACATAAATTAAGGATGTGACAGCTTCTTTATCTCAATTGAACATGTGACCATGCATATTCGGAAATGATATATCGGATGTTAAAAATCAGACCGTGTTAAGTTCTGATATGATCGAAAACTTAGCTTCATAAAATTTGTCTCAATTTGATTTTTTTAATGTATAGGACCGATTATGATTTCGATTCAAGAGAAAAATGCTGTATTTCAGCTGATCCTACTTCACCTACGCTTCACTAGTCTTTTTGAAGCCAAGTTTTTTAGAGTTCAGACTTAAAATGTTTCTGTTAAAATGAAATTTTTGTTAAACTTGACTAAAGATAATTGACTTCCGATTCTGAGAAATCTGATTACGATTCGTCAAAGTCGATTACCTTGGATCAAGTGTCATAAAATTTTATTAAGGCTCAAACATTATGAGACTGAAGTCCAAAAAAAGTAACTTTTAATTTTTATTTCATCCTACATCGACATACTTACAATTCCACTTAAACTAGTTGAAATAGCACATTTTCTCTTGTTTGAATCAATGTGACGCTAATCGGAGCTATTATTTTACCTCATCGGCAAAGAACCTACGCTTTTGAATCTCCGATAGATAACTATTCATATAGGTAGCTACTTGAGTATCGAGACCTAGACATAAGTATATATATAGTTAGGTAGACGGATAGCTAGATGCCACATAAAACCCTTTATCTACGACACTATTAAAGGGTTTCAGAAATATAATCACAATCAGAATTTTTTAAAGGCTTCGTAGGGTACCTTTTCTTAGACTGATCTCATGGGGAAAACTCTATATGTTACTGTGATCAGCATGCCCTGCTCTTCAATCTGGTATGTAGCTAATTCAAAATCTCATATTCACACTTATGGATCTTGCCGTGTTCGTGAGACGTTGTATTTAGAGTAAAAAACTCTAATTTTTCTTCTAATACAGCATACCATACCATGCAACATTTTGAGGTAACAAATCCAAAAATAGCTGGAAAATAATTTCTGGAAAAGAGTATCCTGTTTAAGATTGCTAGATTTGTCTTTAGAGTGATGAGATCTCTTGTTCTTCTACAAGTTTGACAGTCATATCAATGACTAATTTTTACCTTAGAACAGAATATTCTGATAGATGTTCAACAGTGAAAAACTGCTATATTTCAAGTCATTACTGTTTATCTATGGTATTCGGGAAAATACAA